CTGCAAGACCGTTTCAGGCTGGACATAAGGAAGAATTTCTTTACTGTCTGAGCCCCCAAGGTCTGGAACAGCCTGCCATTGGAGGTGGTTCAAGCACCTACATTGAACACCTTCAAGAGCAAATTGGATGCTTATCTTGCTGGGATCCTATGACCCCAGCTGACTTCCTGCCCTTCGGGTGGGGGGCTGGACTCGATCTTCCGAGGTCCCTTCCAGTCCCAATGTCTATGAAATCTATGAAAATAAACCTGTTAGCACAGGAGATGCTACGATATGGACTCATACTAAAGGGATCAGAGGAAATGTTATTAAGGACTTTATTAGTATGCGTTAAACCTAGTTTATGGAAAGTAGGAAACTTTTGGGTTTTTAAGAAGTTGGCTTTCACTGAAAGAGAGTGCCTGAAGCTGGGACTGTATAAACTGAAATCGGTTGAGTCAAGGAAGAGAAGTGGAGAAAAAAGGACTGGACACACTTGTTTCATTGAACCAACAGAGAAGACTGATGGGAGGGGCGGAGAGTTTCAGGTGGTTACTTAAGTAATAGTTTTTCATGGGGTTCTGTATGAAGAAAAATAGTGTTGTAAAGGGTTTTCTGTGGGAAGTTGATGTATGTATATATGTAGTTGTATGTTTTTTGGATATCGATTTGGTTTTGTGATATGAAGTCTTGGTAAAACAAGGATGCTCATTATGTGAAGTTTGGTAAGTGTAGAGTGATAAGTATATTTTTAATACTTTTTGTAAAAAAAAGTTCCCATCAGCATGTTTACTCAACATGGGCCATGTACTTTACAATTATGCTCAGCGTTGGCTACATTTAATCACCTTCATAGTTGGTTTCCATTACTGAGCACCATATGATGCTTTTAGCAGAAGTTCAAAGATAGACAATGTATTTAATGCAGATTCTTTGTATGCAAATGTAAGATAAGTGGCTCCCCCCCATACTGATTAGGGGGGAAATATCTTGTCTTGTAGTTGAGCAAATACAGTATCACAGAAGCCAGAACACAATTACTGTAAGCAGTACTCACCTTGCCAGTCTCTGGTAAGTTTTAGATTTACAGTTCATCGCAGCATGGATCAACAACTGGTTGAAGATATCTCTCTGGAAAGAAAAATGCACTATAATATCTAGTAACAAAAGTTGCAGGTAGCAGTTTCTTTTCTTGATGACCAAACCCAAAACACACTAACCACCCGACATGCAGCACTTTAATTTCAAAGAAAAGTAGAAACAGTTTAAAATTACAGCATAGAAATGGAAAGCTATAAAAGGAATCTTACTGCTAACACAACATAGTGCCCACCTGAGGCACCTGGTGAAGGGGCTGCAGGTGCTCGACCACCTGGGCAACAGCGATCATCGCCTGCTCGAATTCACCATCCAGCGCAAGGTGGCCAAGGCCTGCAGCAAGGCAGCAGCCCTAGATTTCAGGAGGGCGGACTACAATGAGCTAAGGAGAATAGTCGAGGAAGCATGGAGGTCCCAGAGGGGAGGGGAGTCAGATGTCCAAGAGGAGTGGTCGCTCCTTAAGGAGATGATCCTCCAAGCCCAAAGGGAGGTAATCCCCACACAGATCAAAGCAGGCAGGAGGGCACATAAGCCCCCATGGCTCACCAAAAGCATCCAGGAACGTCTCTTAGCCAAAAGGGAGGCGTACACCCAATGGAAGGGAGGAGCCATCACCAGGGAGGATTATACTGCAGTTGCTCGGGGCTGCAGGGGGGCGGTCAGGAAGGCCAAGGCAGAGATGGAACTGGGACTAGCTTCCCAGATCAAGGACAACAAGAAGTCCTTTTTTAAATACACAGTAGGCAAAAAGAAGGTTCCGGGTAATGTGGGGCTCCTGCAAGACACGCTAGGAAATTTGGTTGTCACACCAGATGACAAAGCTAACTTATTTAGCGATTTCTTTGCCTCCTTTTTCCTAAGCAGGGACCAGATCAGCCCCCCTACTGGGCCCCCCTCAAGCCCCAGGGGAGGCGCACCTAGGCTAAGGGTCAGGGAGGATCTAGTCAGGGAACTTCTGGAAGGACTGGATGTATT